TGCAGTTCAGGCTGGCCTTGAGCTCACTTTGTAGCCCAGGCTGGTCTTGAACTCACAGATCCTCCTGCCTCAGCCTCCCGAGTGCTGGGATTACAGGCGTGGGCCACCATGCCCGGCAAGAGGTGGGGTCTTGATACATAATTCAGGCTGGTTTCCAACTCACAGCTATCCTCCTACCTCATCCTCCTGAATGCTGGGATCACATGTGTGCCACCACGCCCAGTTGTCTTTTTTGCTTTTGTCTTTTTGTTTCCTGTGTTTGGACTATGACTTTCCCTGGGAGGTGATGGTTGATTGCGTTTGTTTATCTAATTGTTTTGTTATTTGGCTGAAGTAGTTCGGTAGCTGAAGTAGCCTTTTTCTCCCTGTGTGTGCAACTTCTGCTGCCCCTGCCCGGATTTCTCCTTGCTTTTATCCTTCAGCCTTGCTCCTTGGGGTCCCTCCTGGGTGGTCATAAGCCACTTATTGGTCGGAGCCCCTCTCCCACCGGTTGGCTGCTTCCCTCTCACAACAGATGCATGTGTGACTCAGAGGCTGCCAGCTCCTACGGTTCCACGATCTGCCCAGGACCTGTAGCTTGGGGATCCCATCTCTGGTTGGTCACAAGGGCGGCGTTGGGCTGCAGTCTCCTGCAGATGACTGTGACGTTACTGTTAAGCCTGGGTTCCTGAGAGTCTCTCCTGGCTTGGAGCTCATCATTGTTTGCTCAGTATTGAAGCCCCTTGTTCCAGTGAAGTATCAGCGCCAGTGTGTCAGGTCTGTGTGTAGCCTACGGGGATGCCTTCAGGGGCCCCGTCCTGCACTCAATCTTCCTAAATGGGTGTGGCCTAGCCTGTGAGCAGTCTTCCTGACCCTAGAGTTGACTAAGCTGCTCAGTTGCCCACACTGGGTTTGAACTTGTGACCCTCCTGCTATAACAGAAAACCGCCACCCCCAGCCAGCATACTTCAGTTTGTTAGGTGCCCAGGTAACAGTTCCTGTTCCAGTTCCGGTTGCTCCTGTCTCTTAGAAATGACTGGTCACTGTATAAACCAATCCCCAGTTGACAAGCCAGCTGCCTCTGTACTTCTTGCTTGCTTATCCCATATAAGCCCTAGACCACTAGAGATCGGGGCCTAGTATTTTGGGAGTGATCCTAATCAGTGCCTGTTGACATAAAATAAATCTGCCTCCAAATCCTGGGTGTTGTTTCAGTATTTGTGCTTGCAGCTGCACTGCCTCAGCCTCTTTACATGCTGAGGTTACAGCCGTGTGCCACCGTGCCAGCAAAATGTCCTTTCTTCCCATGCTGCTCCCATCTTGCTTTGAGTGAAGCTAATACACTAACTTTGCTGGGCAGCCGCCTTGGCAAAGCATGCGCAGGACATCTCAGGGGCCTGGGGAAGGCGCTCCCTGGCTACAGACCTGACGACTGGTTTCTTCTGGTCCTGAAGGGGTGGGCTACGGGGAGCTTGCAACTTTCTCTGGTCTCCATCTTCTAACTGGTCCCTAGGGGCAGGCTGGTGATTGCTAGGGCCCTGACCACTCTAATTGCCCATGTTACTTATTCTTGCTTGGGGAACCCAAATTTATGCCCCGAGAACCTGGGGCCCTGGTCTGGTATACCACTGCCTGGGACACCCAGGCCGAGGGCTCGGTGACGCCGTCTGCCTTGGAGGGTGAGGCGGGACACAGGAACCCAGCCAGCAGGAGGGCAGAGGCCCTTTAAGACCAACCTCGCTCCCTCAGGCTGTTACTATGTACCGGGCCAACTTCCTTAGCAACCACCTGGCCTCTTCTGGGGGACTTGGAACATTGGTCACAGCCATGGCTCCCAAAAAGAAGGCAAACAAGGGAGACAAGGAGAAGAAAGGGGGCAAGAAGGACCCCAGTGTGGCCATCAAGCCCATGGAGGCGCCCTTGGCAGTGGAGATGCGGGAGTTCTACCTCATCCAGATCCGAGACCTGGAAGACAGGCTGGCCCGGTGGGTGGGAGGGAGGGAGGCTGGTGGCGCTTGGCCAGGGGACTCCAGACCCGTTTTGGCCTCTGTGGGACATCCAGGCCCATTAGCACCCTCAGCCTCCTCACAGGTGACATAAGGAGGCGTCAAGATTTTGAGATTACAGCCAGGGATAGTAGTGCACACTTGTAATCCCAGCACTCAGGACACTGAGGCAGGAGGATTTCTGAGTCCCAGGCCAGCCTGGGCTACAAAGGGAGTTCATGGCCAGCCTGAACTGCATAGTAAAACCCTATCTCAAAAAGACAAAAAAATACCAGGTTTGGTGGCGCAC